GAGGGAGGGAGGGAGGGAGGGAGGGAGGGAGGGAGGGAGGGAGGGGAGGGAGGAAGAAAGGAAGGGAGGGAGGGAGGGGAGAAAGAAAGGGAGAAAGGGAGGAAGGCAGGAAGAAAGTAAGAAAGGAGGAGAAGAAAAGGAAGGAAGGAAGGAAGAAAGAAAATAGGGAAAGGTTAGAGACTGAGCTGCCTGGTTGTATTAGGTGTTTGCTTTTCTTTAAGTCTTCCTCTAAGTTGATATCATATCTCAGAATCAGAGTCTGCGTTTAACGGATCTGTGTATACCTGGAGCCCAGCACGTTGTTTGACATGTAATGGAAACTGTTCACATTTGATGCAATTCAGGGCTTGGTGAGTCAAACTCAGTTACTCCACAAGCTAAACATTTATCTACCCTGTGACTCTGCACTCTCTCTCTCCTGGAGATATATTATTTATTTATATTTGTATATGTACATATAAATATAGATGTATAGATATAGATATACGTACACACAGCAGAAATGAGCAGTTAAGTCCACCAAAAGACATGTGGAAGAATACTTACAGCAGCCTCATTCATAATAGCTCAGACTGGAAACAACTCCAAAGTTCGTCAGCAGGAGACTAGACAAACAAATTGAGGTGTAGCTACACAATGGAATAATGAGCAAGAACAAACCGTTCAACAACATTAACGAACTGCACAAGCATTCAACTGAGTGGAAGAAGCCAGAGAGAGGAGTATATATTGTTTAATTCAATTTATATGAAATAGAACACAAGCACATCTAATCTATAGTGATAGAAGTCAAAATACTGGCTGCCTTTGAGACAGCAGTAACTGGAAGCAGGCACAGGGGAACATTTTGGGCCTCCGGAAATGGTCTGTATTTTGATCTCAGTGCTGGTAATGTGTGCGTATGTGTATAAATATTTATACACATATATACACATTTAAGCATAAATATGTAAACATACATCAACTTATACACTTAAAATCAATGTGCTTTATGAAGGTTATGCCTCAATAGAAAACAGAAAGAAATCGTTTCGATCAGGATGACAAGTGCATGGTGGGCAAGCTACTACTCTCCCCTCCCCGGGCGGCAGCAGACGCTAATTAATCACCACGCTCCTTTCCTTTGAGCTCAGCTTCAGAGCCATCTCAATCCAGTGCTCCAGCCAGCTGTGCTTTGAGGCAAAACTATCAGCTTTCCCTCATGTATACACAAGAATGTTGATTAAGATAATTAATTAATCATCTTACCATCTTAATTATTAATTATCATCTTCAGTTTGTTCAGCCCCACTCTGAGGATGCCTGGCTCCCACTATGGACTCGTGGCTGCTTCTCCAAAGTCCAGGTTCAGTTCCCAGGAGGAAGTGGCTTCTGAAGAGCATATCTGGATGCTGGAAAGTGACAGCGTGAGGGGCACACCACAGGAGGAAGGTCCTTCACAGAGGGCTGGCAGATTAACGCAGCTCACTGGTAAGCATGGGACCCAGAAAAGGCTCCAGTTCGACTGGGCACATTTTCTACCAAGTGAAATGAATTGTTTTTTCTCGACTGAGGAGAGAGAAGAGAAGTTGAGACTGGACTGCAGGGACTGGCATCTCTTGATTTGCCCAAGGTCCTCTGGCACCTGAAGCCCAGCCTGCTCCCCAACAGTCACCAAGGCGCTGCATCTTATCAGGGATAATAACGCTTCCTGTGGGGTTCCTCCTGCACAGCATACAAAATCTTCCACTTCACTATCACACCATCATGAGAGCTGGACAGGGTGGGAATTATCCTCCCCAACCCAACCCCCATCTCATTTTAAAATAAGAGAACTGGCTGGGCACGGTGGCTCACATCTGTAATCCCAGCACTTTGGGAGGCAGAAGAGGGTGGATCACTTGCGGTCAGGAGTTCGAGGCCAGCCTGGCCAACATGGTGAAACCCCATCTCTACTAAAAATATAAAAATTACCTGGGCATGTTGAAACATCTGTAATCCCAGCTACTTGGGAGGCTGAGACATGAAATCACTTGAACCTAGGAGGTGGAGGTTGCAGTGAGCCAGGATCACACCACTGCACTCCAGCCTGGGCAACAGAGCAAGACTCTGTTTCAAAAAAAATAAAATGGGCTGGGCACGGTGGCTCACACCCATAATCTCAGCACTTTGGGAGGCCAAGGTGGGCAAATCACTTGAGGTCAGAAGTTCAAGACCAGCCTAGGCAACATGGTGAAACCCTGTCCCTATTAAAAACACAAAAATTAGCCAGGCATGGTGACAGGTGCCTGTAATCTCAGCTACTTAGGAGGCTGAGGCAGGAGAATTACTTGAACTCAGGAGGCAGGGGCTGCACTGATCTGAGATTGTGCCACTGCACTCTAGCCTGGGCAACAGAAGGAGACTCCATCTCAAAAAACTACATAAGTACATAAAACACACCAAAGAAGCTGGGCACGATGGCTCACACCTGTAACCTAGCCTTTGGAAAGCTGAGGCAGGAGGATCCCTTGAGTCCAGGAGTTCAAGACCAGCAAGGGCAAATAGCAAGACCCTGTCAAAAAAACATATAAGTAAATAAGCATGCACCTGTAGTCCTAGCTACTCTGGAGGCTAGGGCAGGAGGATTGCTTGAGCCCAGGAGATCGAGGCTGCAGTGAGCTATGATCATGCCACTGCATGCCAGCCTGGGCAACAGAGGAAGACCTTGTCTCAAAAAATAAATAAAATAAAACACACAAAAGCAGTGTTGCACTGGTTATAGTTTGGTTTCTCTCTACTGACTGCTAAGAAAGATGCTGCAGCTAATTAATGAAAAAGGAATGATCAAATTAGAGTAACACCATTTTGTACCCACAGATTAATGAATGAATCTAGGCATTGAGTATCAACAGCTGTTAACATCACTCCCTTTATACACACACACACACACACACACACACACACAATTATGTGCACCTCTTGAGGAAATAACACACCATCACCTACAGTTGTCAAAAAATCAAAACCTGAATTTTATAAAGTCTCTGAATCTAGCTACCAATTTACTGGAAATACAGACATATTACAGAGATATTGTGGGCTCAGTTCCAGACAACCACAATAAAAAGAATATTGCAATCAAGTGAGTTACATGAATTTGTTGGTTTCCCAGTGCATATAAAAGTTATGTTGGCCGGGTGCGGTGGCTCACGCCTATAATCCCAGCACTTTGCGAGGCTGAAGTGGGCAGATCATGAAGTCAAGAGATCAAGACCACCCTGGCCAACATGGTGAAACCCTGTCTCTACTAAAAATGCAAAAATTAGCCCGGCATGGTGGCAAGCGCCTGTAATCCCAGCTACTTGGGAAGCTGAGGCAAGAGAATTGCTTGAACCCAGGAGGTGGAGGTTGCAGTGAGCTGAGATCATGCCACTGCACTCCAGCCTGGACAACAGAGCAAGACTCTATCTCAAAAGAAAAAAAAAAAGAACTTTATCACTGGGTGCAATGGCTCAAGCCTGTAATCCCAACTAGTCTGGAAGACTGCTTGAGGCCAGAAGTTCAAGACCAGTCTGTGCAATGTAATGAGACCTAGTCCCTAAACAAGTAATATATAAAATAAATAAAAATTTTAAAAATTAGCTGAGTGTGGTGACATGGGTCTGTAGTCCCAGCTACTTGGGAGGTCAAGGCCAGAGGATTGCTTGAGTCCAGGAGTTTGAGGCTGCAGTGAGCTATGATTGCCTCATTGCACTCTAACCTAGGCAACAGAATGAGAAACCATCCTAAAAAAAAAAAAAAAAAAAAAAAAAATTTATTGCTAAAAAATGTTAACAATCATCTGAGCTTTCAGCAAGTCATAATCTTTTGGCTGGTGAAGTGTGAAGGGTCTTACCTTGATGTTGATGGCTGCTGACTGATCTAGCTAGTAGTTGCTGAAGGTTGGGTGGGTGTGGCCATTTCTTAAAATAAGACAACAGTGAAATTTGCCCCATTGATTAACTCTTCCTTTCATGAAAAGATTTTGGTGGCTCAATCCCAGCACTTTGGCAGGCGGAGAAAGGAGGAATTCTTGAGGCCAGGAGTTCAAGACTAGCCTGGACAACAGAGAGACCTCATCTCTACAAAAAATAAAGTTGGCTAGGCATGGGGGTGTGCACCTCTAGTTCCAGCTACTTGGGAGGCTGAGGTCAGAAGATCAATTGAACCTGGGAGGTCAAGGCTGCAGTGAGCTGTGATCGCACCATTGCAGCACTGCACCTCAGCCTGGGTGTCAAAACAAGACCCTGTCTCAAAAAAAAAAAAAAAGATTTTGATGCTGTTTGATGGCATTTTACCCACAATAGAACATCTTTCAAAATTGGAGTGAATCCTCTCTCAAACCCTGCCACTGCTTTATCAACTAAGTTAATGAAATAGTCTAAATCCTTTGCTGTCATTTCAATGATGTTCACACACTCTTCTCCAGAAGTAGAATCCATCTCAAGAAACCCCTTGTTGCTCAGCCGTAAGACGCAACTCCTTATCCGTGCAAGTTATATCATGCAATTGCAGCAATTCAGTCACATCTGCAGGCTTCGCTTTTCTTGTTCTCTTGCTATTTCCACCACATCTGCAGTTCCTTCCTCCACAACTCCTCAAAGTCATCCATGAGGGTTGGAATCAACTACTTCTAAACACCTGTTAATGTTGCTATTTTGACCTCCTCTCATGAATCACAAATATTCTTAATGGCATCTAGAATGGTGGATCCTTTCTAAAGGTTTTTCATGTACTTTGCTGAGATCTATCAGAAGAATCACTGTCTATGGCAGTTATAGCCTTACAAAATGTATTTCTTAAATAATAATACTTGAAAGTCAAAATTACCCCTTGATCTATGGGCTGCAGAATGAATATTGTGTTGTCAGGCATGAAAACAAGATTCATTTCTTTGCACATCTCCATCAAGCTCTTGGGTGACTAGGTAGATTGTCAATGAGCAGCAATATTTTGAAAGGAATCTTTTTTCTGAGCAGGTCTTAATATTGGTTTTAAAATATTCAGTAAGCCTTGCTATAAACAGATGTGCTGTTATCCAGGTTTTGTTGTTCCATATATAGAGCCCAGGGAGAGTAGATTTAGCATAGTCCTTAAGGGCCCTCGGATTTTCAGAATGATCAATAAGCATTGGCTTCAACTTAAAAACGCCAGCTGCATTAGCCCCTAATGAGAAGCAGCCTGTCCTTTGCAGCTTTGAAGTCAGGCATTGATTTCTGCTCTCTAGCTATGAAAGTCCTAGATGGCATCTCCTTCCAATGGAACATTGTTTTGTCTACACTGAAAGCCTGTTGTTTACCGTAGCCACCTTCATCAATTTTCTCAGCTAGATCTTCTGGATAGCGTTCTGCAGCTTCTCTATCCGCACCTGCTGCTTCACCTTGCACTTTGATGCTATGGAGAAGGCTTCTTTCCTTAAACCTCATAAACCAACGTCTGCTAGTTTCCCACATTTCTTCTGCAGCTTCCTCACCTCTTTCATCCTTCAGAGAACTGAAGAGTTAGGGCCTTGCTCCGGATTAGGCTTTGGCTAAAGGGAATGTTGTGGCTGGTTTGATCTTCTATCCATATCACTCAAACTTTCTCCACATCAGCAATAAAGCTATTTCTCTTTCTTATCATTTGTGTGTTCACTGGAGGAGCACTTTTAATTTCCTTCAAAAACTTGTCCTTTGCGCCAAGCGCGGTGGCTCATGCCTATAATCCCAACACTTTGGGAGGCTGAGACAGGTGGATGATAAGGTCAGGAGTTCGAGACCAGCCTGGCCAACATGGCAAAACCCTGTCTCTACTAAAAATACAAAAACTAGCCAGGCATGATGGCACATGTCTGAGTAGTAATCCCAGCTACTCAGGAGGCTGAGACAGGAGAATTGCTTGAACCCAGGAGGCAGAGGTTGCAATGAGCCAAGACCGTGCCATTGTAGTCCAGATACCTGGGCAACAAAAGCAAGACTCCATCTCAGGAAAAAAAAAAAAAAAGAGGACACTCTTGAGTGAAATTACAAAGAAATGCAAGGAAGTTGTTACTATAAAAGTACCTGAATTTCTCTCTGAGTACCGCCACTGTCTATCCAGTCAGATGAGAGGACTCGCGCTGTCACACACTGAGTGCCCAGTGAAGCTGGAGCTGAAGCCCAGGCCATCCTGCTTCCACTACACCAATGCTAGCATTTACAAGGGGAGAGAACACCATGACTGGCTTAGACGATGACAGTCCCAGACAATAAAACTTGAGGTGGTGTCTATTGGGAGCTGCTGGGAAGGTTTTCCTCACCTTTACAAAGAGACATGAAGAAGAAACACCTCCTGCTCAGGCCAACATTGTGTGATGCCTGGAGCTGTGGCAGCAATTTTGTCACCTTTTAGGAAATGACTGCCACTGTGAGAATGGCAAGGCTGAAAGATAGAAAGAACCTGTGTTATTGGTGACAATGCTGAGCTTCTGAATTCACCGCCCTGGACATGCCCTAGCCTGATCTTCTTTTGGCCTGTGAGGATGAAAGCCCTCATTGTTTTTTGTGTTTTTTTGTTTGTTTGTTTGTTTGTTTTGAGACAGAGTTTTGCTCTTGTTGCCCAGGCTGGAGTACAACGGTGAGATCTCGGCTCACTGCAGCCTCTGCCTCCCTGGTTCTAGAAATTCTCCTGCCTCAGCCTCCCTAGTAGCTGGGATTACAGGTGCCCGCCACCATGCCTGGCTAATTTTTTGTATTTTTAGTAGAGATAGGGTTTCACTACATCGGCCAAGCTGGTCTTGAACTCCTGACCTCAGGTAATCCACCCGCCTCAGCCTCCCAAAGTGCTGGGATTACAGGCGTGAGCCACTACGCCCAGTGAAAGCTCTCATTGTTTATGCTGGTCCTGGATGAGTTTTCTATTACTTGCAGACCAAAAGCCACCTACAAGGGGCAGCTCACACTTCCTGAGCAACTGCTAGCTAGCAGGCACGAGTCACAGACCTTAGTACTCTCTCATTATTTCCACTCCCCTTTTAGGAGTGGAAGTCATGACCTCATTTGATAGCTGAGGAAGCTGAGACCCAGAAATCAACAGGGACTCTCTCTGTCACACACCGAGTGCCCAGTGGAACTGGAGCTGAGGCCCAGGGCATTCTCTTTCCACTACACCAATGGTGGCGATGGGTTTAACACTATGCCTTTTGGAACTCTCTGCTACAAGTGCAAGGAAGGGGAACCAGGCTAGCCCAAACCACAGGGTATCCAGGAACTCAGAATCAGTCTCTCTCTGTCTCTCTCTCTCCACCTCTCTGTCTCCATCTCTGTCTCTCTCCCATCATTCCATGCTCCACACTCTCAGGCCAGCTGTCCTACTAGGCCAGAAGCATGGCCACCAGCAACCCAGGTCTCATATCCCAACAGCCAAGGGACAAAAAGGACAGTAGTCTCACTTTCCCCAGCTTGAGTTTTACCAACCTTGGGCCACATACCTCCACCTTGGGCTAATCATGTGAGTGTGAATTCTGGGTGCTACTTCCTGGTCTGTGGCTTGGCCTATTCAAACTCTCTAAGATTGAGTTTGCCCATCCTTAAACAAGAATAATAATCGTACCTACTTCATTGGGTTGTTGGGGGGAATCATTCATTGATTTAATGAATACTTATTGCAGCCAACTCTGTGCCAGGCAGTGTGTTAGGTGATGAAGCTATAGTAGAGGACAAAGAGACCTAATCCCTGCTCTTATGGAATTAATGGTCTATCGAGAAAGACAGACATTACATAAATAAACGCATGAACAATTATCTCTATTACAACTGTGAGACGCGTTCTAAAGGTGCAGAGTTCCCCAGGAGAGAGGGAAAGGAGACCTAGCTCAGGTCAAATGAGTAATATTTAAAGATCTCAACACTGGGCTCGGCATGAGTTAGCATTCAGTCTATGTAGCTATCTTATAGGTTTTTACTCAGCGTCTTCCCAACCCTCTGGCCTCCCCACAGCCACTTCCTGCAAGGAGGGGAGCTGCAGCCAATTACAGGCTTCCTAGGGGACAGAGAGCAAGTGTGGTGCATGCGTTGGGGCAGCAGCAGTACAGCAGGTCCAGGGAAGTGCAGAGCTGGTGGGCGGCACACACCCAGCTCACGACATGGCCACTTATTGGGAGCAGCCTCTCCTGGGCTCTAGCTGATGCCCAGCCCGGGGAGCCTGCAGAGGCCCCAGTGGCTTCTCAGGCTCCAGGCTCCCCCAGGCTCCTTCTGCTGGCTCTGCACCAAGCGCTGAATGCACTGCAGAACAAGTGACTTGCCTTTCACCATTGCCAGGCTCTGCCACCATGAGCCTCAACTCCCTGGCCTCAGGGACAAGGTCCTGCCCCTGCCCCTGCCCCAAGGCACCGTGCTGTATAATCACTTCCTGGTGACTGTTTGCAAAACTCTTTGTGATCCAGGGATGTGTCTGTGGAATACATCCTGTCCCCAGCAGGGCCCTATGCAGCTCCTTCTCATCTCTCTTGAGCAGAGGCACTGTCTTCAGGGAAGAAGGGCCAAGAAGCTGCCGCATCGGATCACTGCCACAAATGCTGGCTCCGTTCCCATCCCCATCACCACTGCCTTGGCCTCAGCTCAAGCCCCATGGCCCTAATCAGGACCCTGGTGCCAGCCCATCTGGCTGCCCAGCCTCCAGGGTCTCCCTTCCAACTTGAGGCAGCCAGAAAGGCTGCCTGGAGCACATGTCACTCCTCCAAGTGAGCACCATCAATGGCTCCCTGGATCTGCACCATCCAACCAGTCCCCTAATGTTGCCACAGGCCCTTGTGATCTGGCCCCTGCCTAACATTTCTGATGGTATGTTCTCAGCCAGCCAAGCATATGCATAGAATTTGCCCAGAACACGATACATGTTTGTTAAACACATGCCTCCTTCTGCATTAATTTACGATGTGCCAGGCTCTGTGTGTGGCTCTGGGATGCAGTGGTGAGCCAAACTGACACAGTCTCTGCCCTCGGAGAGTTCACGGTCTAGTATGGAAGGCAGACGGCAATGAAACAAAAGCAATCACAAGGGTTGATCATGTCAGGTTGTGGTGGCTCACTCCTATAATCCCACCACTTTGGGAGGCCGAAGCAATCGGATTGCTTGAGCCTAGGAGTCAAGACCAGCCTGGGCAACATAATGAAACACCATCTCGACTAAAAATATTAAAATAAGCCAGGCATGGTGTCATGTGCATGTAGTCCCAGATACTTAGGAGGCTAGGGTGGGAGGATCACTTGATCCTGGGGGATCGAGGCTGCAGTGAGCTGTGTTCGTGACACTGCACTCCAGCCTCAAGAGAGTGAGACCCTGTCTCAAAAAAAACAATTAATTAAAAAAAGAGTAGCTGGGTGCAGTGGCTCACACCTGTAATCCAGCAATTTGGGAGGCCGAGGCAGGTGAATCACCTGACGTCAGGAGTACAAGACCAGCCTGGCCAACATGGTGAAACCCCATCTCCACTAAAAATACAAAATTAGCTGGCCATGGTGGCGCATGCCTGTAATCCCAGCCAGTCAGGAAGCTGAGGCAGGAGAATTACTTGAACCGGGAGGCAGAGGCTGCAGTAAGCCAAAATAGTACCATTGCACTCCCGCCTGGGGAACAACAACAAAACTCTGTCTCAAAAAAAAAAAATTTATCATTACAAATAGTAGTGAGAGCTATGAAGGACCTGTCCCTGCAGGATGGACAGTATGAGAGAAGTGTGACTTTGCCTGGGGGTCAGCAGCTCCCCTGAGGTGACACCAACCTGGTATCAGATGAGTGAGTAGTCGCCATCCAGGCGAGGGGTTTGGGGTGGAGGGAGAGCTTCCCTGATGCTGAGGTCAGGGGCACCCACAGGCTCTGGCACCCGGAAGCCTGGGGGCAGGTGGGCCCTAGAGAGCTCAGGACTGTGAGCGTGGACGCAGATGGAGTATGAGCCTTCTGAACGGAGGAGGGATGGGAATGAAAACAGGGAAGTGTGGTGAGCAATGCTGGGGGCTTGGACTGATGCCATCACACCAGAAATGCCAAGTCAAAGGGAACTTTATCATTTAACTTTCTACCTAAGGAATTTTTAAAAAATGAATAAATGTAGAGAGAGCACTACCATGAACCCCTGAACCCCTCATCCAGCAGCATCAATAATGGCCAACCCACAGCCAACCTTCTCTCAGCTATGCCCCACCCACGCCCCTCACCCCAAATATATGATACCGAAACAAATCCCAGACGCTGTGTAGTTCACCCATAGATATTTCAGTATGTATCTCTACAACAAAAGGACTGTTTTTAACATAACCACATTATCACACCTAAAAAATGAATGATCACATAAGGGGAAATGTCTGAGGCTTGATATTTATTACCAAACTACCCAGAAAAGCCCCCCCAACCCACCCCAAGCAAGTGTGAGGGTCCCCATCTCACTGCACCCTGGCCAACACTGGGTGTTACAAGAGATGGATTTCTACAAGAGGCTCACCCCAAAACCTAGG